TAGGCTGCCACAGGGGAGCTCTTACTTTAAATATTGTCATATTTGCAACCCTCCTAAAAATTAAAGAGCAAAAAGACCCCTTTAAAAATTAAATAGAAAACCCCACCCACACCCACTTTGTGGTTGCGAATGGTTTGTGTATATATGAAAGATCAGTAATAAAATAGACTTATTTCACTCCACTTTTCCATTGCTTTAAAACCTTATCTCTCCAAAACACAATAAAACAAAATATTATCTCTCCAAAACAAAACAATACAAAATAAATAAATAAAGTGAGCTGGTTTGTAAAATAAAATACATAAAATATAAAAATAATTTACCCACAACAATGAAAACAGTGCATGACAATGCCTCAAACAAACAAACAAACAAACAAAAAACCCACAAGAAAATAGAACTCATATAAGAGAGCAAAAAAGAACAGTACAGGATTTTTTTTTAAAAAATATGCATGTGCTATTCAGTACCATGGTCAGCGGCAACAGTTATTACTACTGTATTGTCTCAGACAGCAACATTTCATTCTAATGAAATGTTCATACTTATTTACTATGCATCTGTAGATATGTAACCAGTTTGAAAACACTGCACATTCACATATATAGTATGTCCAGATATGTGGCAGTAGAAACATGCAGTAACTCACAGGCTAAGTGTTAAAATGAATTATCTACACAGTAGGAGGAAAATTGAAATAAAACTACATAATTTTTCTGCATTCAAATAATGAATGATTCATTTTAATTATGCAAAAGGTAGCTGTACGAGAATGCCTATGACCAGATCACCACATTCCAAATCTTCCCATGGCTTATTATTGCCCTAAGGGGATGAGTGATAAGCCATTTGGCCTTGGTTGTTAGTACTTTTCTTAATTCAGTGTATTGTTTTAGATTAAAGCCTTTTTTTTGCTCAAATTCTGTTCAACTGGAGTGGTGGTAACTATTGTGTAATTTCTTTAGGTTGGGGAAAGTTTGCTCGTTTGACGCGTGCACTAACAAGCAGCCGAGGAGTCCTGCAGCAACTTGCCCCCAGTGTGCAGAAAGGAGAGAACGTTCACAAGCATTCCCGCCTAGCAGAGGTAAAGTCTGCATCATGTTTCCATTCTATCTGAATGTTGTGATAACTTAAAGAGCATCCACACTCTTGGAACCAATAGCTTTCCCTCAGAAGTGTAATCTACTGTCGGGGAACCAGCTGAGAGTTAACACTGATCCAATCATGACTTCCCTGTTATGGCAAGATGAACACTTTTACCCTTTTACCTTGGAGCTGGGCTGCTTTGAAAGATAGGTTTGAATTCTGGGGCTCTCTGAGTGATACTAAGCCCTCTGTAACTAAGAAAGAATTGTTTTTTCTCTCCAGCTGAAGCCTGGGCTGTTTATATTTTTCCTCTACACCAGTTTGGAGCTTTTTTTTTTTTTTTTTTTTTTGTAAATGTTTTATTCATTTTCATTTTCAATTTTNGAATCTTTTGGATTGTGGCAGGATAGAAATGAATGAATGAATTAAAAAATAAATAGACAAACAAACAAACAAACAAATAATCAACATCTAAAATGTCAACATTTGGGGAGATAAGGGGAATGGAGGACTAGGAACATGCTCTTTAAGTGAACCAAGATCCTTCCCTATTGATTAGAATTTTTCAAGGAATTATTGAAAACCGCTGTTACATAGAGTTATGTATAGAAAATCTGTGAATAGATTTTTAATTTCACAAAACAATATTCTACATTCTGGTATCCAAGTGTAGATGAGATTCACATAATGGGTTCATGTTTACTCCACATAATTTCAGACCCATCTTTTATCCATCAGCCACCTTGCGCTGCACCTAAAGTATGCTATAATCTGATCTTGAAACGTTCTTCAGATTCAAAATTAACTTTTGTGTGACATGGATGTGAAAGCCTTTTTTAATTAAGGAAAATATGTCCATTACCCTGGACATTTACTTTCAGACAAGTCCTGTAAAACCTTGGCAGGAGTTACTTCAGAATAAATATGGCCAGGATCAGGCTGCAAAGTACCCTGAAATACTTTGAAGAATTGAGTTCCTTAGTTCTTTGGAATTGGGATACACTCTATAACATGAACTTATGGACCAAATCACATTTTAATGTCATCATCTTGAAATTTTTGTTTGCTTTTAATATCATATCAATTCCATAAAATACATTTCAAAAAATAGTGTTTTCTTGACATCTGCTTTTCGTGTCAAAGCAAAAGTTCATTGAATTTTCATCTTACCTGGCTAATGTGAATAATCAGTCCCTGTCTATTTTCTATGGAAGACAGACAACTCTGTCTCTCCTTAGGATTCTTTCCTGATGCATTACAATAAAATTAAGTGGCTGTAAATAAGAATTCTGCATTCCAGGATGAAGTGGAACATCCTCAGTCCTGGTTCTATTACAAATGTTTCTGATTCTGGCCTCCCTTTTGCGTTCCCTCTATTCATTATTGCTGTTTTACAACCATGATAACAATGTCTATTTTTGTTCTTCTGCAGTATTTCTTATCTACACCAAGCAATGCTTTTCAAGGACTTAGTCTGATGAAAGTACAAAGATACTAGGCTGCCACAGGGGAGCTCTTACTTTAAATATTGTCATATTTGCAACCCTCCTAAAAATTAAAGAGCAAAAATAGACATTGTTATCATGGTTGTAAAACAGCAATAATGAATAGAGGGAACGCAAAAGGGAG